TCTCACTCCTCTCTTCTGACCGCTGCTGGTGCTACGCAGGTTTTTTCCTCCCCTCTTCTTAAATAAGTTATCACAGAGGTGCTACCACCGCCGCTGATGAGCCTGGCCTTGATCAGCAGGAGGTCCGTCTTGGAGCCGGCTGGCATTGGCTCTGTCAGACATCACACAGGAAACTTCTAGGAGCTTCACACAGAAGCTACCCCTGCAGCTGCCCCACTACCAAAACGTGGCCATGCAAACCAGATACAACCTTTACACTTAAAAAAGGAAACTACAACAGGAATATACTAATTATATATTTGTTCAAACTTTAAACATCCAAAAATATTAAGCAGACAGGATTACTTGCACAAGAAAAAACATTTGAACTCATATTTGTAAAGCAAAGATATTGCAAACTATTTTTAAATGGAGGCAAATTCATATGCATGTGTAATGCTTTGTGTGGTAAATGGTTATGCAAAGGCAAACACCAAACAAACAGCTATGTGTAACACCGTCTTTGTCAGAAAGATTGTAGAAGTTTTTGTGAGGCAAACCTAAGTGACTGAAAAGTTTTGACTAGTTTTGATATTATGTAAACAGAAAATCCTCTATTCATTCATTTTAGCTGATAACATACGTGGATTAGAAAGCAGACTTTGAGGAGGATTAGTCAGCACTATCAGACAGGGAATAAATCAGTAGATTGTATAAAAATGTAGTAACATCCTTTCCAGAATCTCAAAGGCAGAAGCTGCAAAGGCACTGATCAAAGAAATGATCTGTGGCAATAATACACAGAAATCTGAAACCACCCACACTGCAGGAAACAGCAAAAGAGGACAGGGGCCTGTGATGTGTCAAGAGACTAAACTGAAATCCAAAGGGACCACTATGGTAACATACCGAGTGTTGGAGGTGTCACAAATGCAGCACTGGATGCAATTATCTGCACAGTCTACACTTCACACCTTCCTGGAGAAATATTGAAGAATTGGAAAACAGACAAAAGACGCTATCAAAAATAATAAGGGCACCTACAATGGGAAATGAGAGGTCAGGGTCAGAAAAGGATCTGTATTAATTAAAAAGCCCTTGATTTTCTGTCTTCTAAAGTAAAAGAAAATATGCAGGGAAATAACGCAAAGACACCTGCAAAAGCCCTGGGACCTCAAATAAAAGCAATTAAAGCTAAGGAAGGACCAGACAGTGCTACAGACAGTCAGACCAGACAGTCCTTTAAATCTTGTGTGGAACGCTGATGAAAGACCATATGGGAAGATCCAAGTATTAAACAGATTCAGAACTAGGCAAACACTCTGAAAAGTGTCAGCAAAAGAAAATTTGATTCAAAGCACCCGACAGATTGCCAAAGGCTACTCACAACTAATGAGATCCCTATATAGCACATTAACAGTTCTCAAAGACAACAACATGATAGATGATTTCTAACAGATATCCCTACAGTTACCACATTTTAATAAAAAGCAGTTTTAAAAGTTTGATGGGTTGGCATAAACAGCTGGCCCATCATTTAGCCCAGAGCACCTACAGAAAGCCCAGGTGTGCAAAACTCGGGAGCATAAACCCAAGTTCTGTGAAACTCAAAGAAGAATCAGATCAGAAATAATCCTGAGAAATAACCAGTTACTTTGTTTATAATGTTTCACAAGAGATAAACTAAGTTACCTGCCCTGCATAGATGCAATATATCTCTTATAAAGGAACAGCTAAAGTAAAAAATAGGCTTTACCATATTTTTTGTTGCCATATAACATAGTTGTTGTACTTACTATTTTGTCTGTAATCATTACCTCCTTTAATAATGGAATTTTTTCCACTGGGTCCCTGCTATAAGTTATGTTAGAAACCTTACAGCTATAATAAAGGAAAGATGAAAATCAAAGACACTAATTCACTTCAAAGGAGACAAGGCTGAGAAATCTCAAATAAGACTATTAACTTCTCATCTGCACTCTACTTTTTAAGAAGAGTGTCAACTGAAGTTAAGTGCTAGACTACTCATATTTCAAATTGTTAGACTACATAAATAAAAATAAACTTGGCTCCATGGCACTTCCCTCCAAGGAAAAAGTGTCACAGTCCTAGAAAACAGATTTCAGTGGAATGAAAGTCTACACTTTCAGAGCTCTCTGCAACTTCAGTCAGTGAGCAGCAAGGGACCAATCCTCACACCATGAGAGTCTTCATTTTAATGGGTAGACAAATCTTCAGAAAGAGAAAAGAGAATGAAGTACAGATGCTATGAACACCACTGAACTTTTATGAGAGGCCACCACAGATCGTGAAACAAAATAACCAGAGATTTGATAGCAGGGGATACTTTTTAGAAATTAAAGAGAGAAAAAACAGAGAGCCAAAAATGAAAAAGCAATAAAAGGGCGGAAGGAACACCCTTCAGGGAAAGTCAGTCTCTATAGATTTAATCAACATGATGGAAAAAGGAAACTGAATCACTTTTACTTTTCTGTGCTGGCTAGAATACGACTCGCCTGCTGAGATCCTATGACAGCCGATTTCCTGTCCTTGCTTCAGTCATATTTGTATCACTTCTGCTGGCACTCCTGTGCAAAACTGAAATCACCACGATACTTTTTTCAGGTGACATTAAACACTGCAGATACATAAAATGAATTTAGTAATTTGACTTAAAATCTTCCAAATGCCCAAACTAGGTTCTTTTCCCTATTTTGCTTTCCCTGATACAATAGATGTTCTCAAAGCCTGCCCACAGAAATGGTTGTAAGAGGTGACTTCTCATGACTCTTGCCATGAATTCGTATAGGGAGATGGGGATCCATCCCTGACACTCACTCTTTTGAGGCAAGATAGTTAAACTTGTAATTCATAAGCAAGGACAGGCATTTCTTTGCCTGATCTGTCTAATGCATTTGGCTATGAGAATATTACACATTCTCTGGTTTGGACTGGAAGGGACCTTTAAAGGCTATATACAGTCCAATCCCACTGCAGTGAGCAGGGACATTTTCAACTACATCAGGTTGCTCAGAGCCCCGTCCAACCTGACCTTGAATGTTGCCCCTTTCTGGGCAACCTGTTCCTGTGTTTCACCACCCTCATTGTAAAAAACTTCATCATTGTATCTAGTCTGATCCTACCCTCTTTCAGTTTACAACCATTATTCCTTGTCTTATCGTTCCAGGCCCTTTTAAAAATTGGTCCCTGTCTTTCTTATAGGCCTCTTTTAAGTACTGGAAGGCTACAATAAGGTCTTCTCTGAAGCCTTCTCTTCTCCAGGTTGACCAGCCCCAACTCTCTCAGCCTTTCTTCATCGGAGAGGTGTTCCATCCCTCTGATAATTATTGTGACCCTCCTCTGGACTCACTCCAGTAGGTCCATGTCTTTCCCGTGCTGAGGACTCTGGAGCTGGACGCAGTACTCCAGGTGGGGTCTCACCAAAGCAGAGTAGAGGGGCACAACCACCTCCCCTGACCTGCTGGCAACAAGCTAGCTTTAAATGAGCAATAGTGGCTGTCCATGTGCTGAGTGCAGAGCTTGATGCAAACAGCCCAAGAAGGAGCAAACTTATGTTTCCATGCTGCTTTGGTTATTTTACCTTCACCTGAGGTATGTTAAGTTAAAACTCACACAGATATCCACACTACAAGGCAGCTACAACAGTGGTTGCATTATAGGTAGTCAAAAGTAAAGCTTACCCCACATTCATATAGCCTGGCTTATTTCAATTTTAAAATATATTTATGGGCCATTTCACTATTCCTGTTGAAAAGTACTGAGTAGATGCTGACTACCAGTTCTGACATGTCGTTAAAAAAAAACATGAAACATAAGAGTTTTATGAAGAATGTATAATATTTTGCTTTGATTTCTAATCTTTTATTCAAGAACAGTCAAAGCACATTTTTAACACTACAGCACATTCACAGGACAAATCTTTTCTGTGAGACAAGTCAGTATATATATATATATATATGAGAGCACAGAGCTGTTAACCCCAAGCTCATGAGTTAATTGAGCACTCAGGTTTTCCTTTCTCTCCCAGAAAATTCAGCTAGACAGTCCCATGCAGCAATGCTCTTGGACTAAGACAAATAAAGCAGTGATAAGTCTTCAAAGGCTTGAGAACATGCCAAAGAGAATTTTTCACATTAAACTGACAAAGAGATCACTGCAGGATAAATAGAAATGGATCCAGTCTGACTGCAACAGCGGAGGGACAAACACTAATCCAGTGCATAAGAACCAGCACTGTATCCTACACATTAGAAAGCAGAGGTGGTCTTCTAGAAGAATGAACTTAAGTCTTTTTTGAGCTTGCATGAAAATTTCAATGCAGATTTACGAATTATGTGAGAAAAGCCAGTGAGAGCCTCCTCAAGACCTGCTTCTTCAAAGATACATTTCCAAGGAGGCCACATATCAAAGGCTGCCCAAAAACGTCAGCTAACAATTACGGTTACATCTCAGCACTGCTGGAAGCCTGCTATTTACTAAAGAATAATGTGACAGTTTACATCATCTGCTGCCTAAATGTGAGCCATCACCCTGAGAAACAAGACTAGAGGAAAGGCCATATTCCGACCTCATCCTACCTCCTTCACCTAGAGCAGGGTAAACAAAGTCTGCCATTTCTCATCTGGGCAGCACAGCTCAGCATTTCGTGCTGCCTGTTCTGGAAAACCAAAGGAGGGATTAATCTACCTTACAGCAGGAAGGGCTTAGCCCTGGGCAGCAGAGATCCTTGATGGCCTCCTGCAACATGGCCACTCACAGCCATCAGAGATAGTCCCAAAGCAGCCAAAAGCAGGAGGTTTTCCATGTAATGTACCCATGTGCTTCTGTGGCAAGCATCCCCTCTCTGTCAGAAGCTAGTGTGGAGTAATCGACAGAAACTTCCTCTTCCTTTGTCTCCTTCTACAACCTTAAACAAGCTCTCAAGGAATACAACTTCCCAACCTGTCTCAATTCCCTACAGGCAATTTAGAGAGTAGTTCTGAAAAATGCTTGATCCTTACCAGTTCCCAATGAATCGGGGATCACTCTGGTCAATATAAACGGTTGTCCTAGGATCAACATAGAAACCAATAAGAAGTCCTCCTAGCAAGTATCCAGCTGCAGGACCAAGTGCTCCCATTACGTACATGATAGCTAAGGAAACAAAAGGTAAAATGAATGTTTCATTATTTTTTTACATGTAAAATCCAAAAGTAAAAGATGCTTCTTAAAGTAGGCAGTTTTGTACCCTAAAACCTCCAGAGCCCTTTTTTGCAACCTTCAAAGGCAGCAACTTCTGCATAAGTAACATATTGATAAGAAAAGTACTGCTTTCTCTCCACTTTCAGTCAAATTATAGATGGAAGTATATACTCCTTTGGTATTCTGAATGGAAAGCACACTTGACTTTGACAACACTTTTCATATTTGGTAATGTTTCCTTTGAATCAAAACAAAACTTAATACATAAATAGGAAAAATATAATTAATGGTAAGCAAACACAAAAGCAAAGGATAAAAATTTTATAGGACACCAAAGAACAAACTACAACATTCCAACTTAGTTACCATCAGATTAGTACAGGGTTTAAAAGAATGAACAAAGCTAAGAAATGAAATATTCCTATTTCAGAGATTGACAGAATTATGTCTTTATCTGTGTAGCCATGGACTTGCCCTTGTTTTACATACTGACACCAGCAGACCATATATACCATATTTCCTGCAAGAATCCTGCCTCATTCAGAACATTTGATCTTTTAAATTTAAAATCTTAATGCTATTTTAAAAGAAAACTCCTAATTTAAAAAGCAAGTAAAATTAAAATAAGTTTCTCATGTGTAACCATACAGACACACATTTTACATCATCATCATGGTCTGAACATTGTATGAAAGAAAAAACCCATATGACTTGGAATAACAGAATAGGAGATACTAATAGAAGGCTCCTATTTGTTGTGTCTTCTACAAGATACTCTTCAGAATGCAGTCTGCAGTCCTGATCCTTCAGCCATGCACACCAGAGATCTGCACATGGGAGAAAATATCACAGCTCCCCTTTGGCTTGCATGCTAGTGCTGTCAGGAGCAAGGGAGAGACAGAGGCAAGGAAAGACTACATCTTCGCATGGGATCAAGATGCATGTGGATCTGGGACCCAGGAAACCCTTCTGCATCTCCCAGAAGAGGCATAGTTGTGAGAAACCAGCAGGAGCAGACAAAATCATCTGGTCTGTTTGCTGACAAGAACTGAGTGCTGAGATTTAGGAATCCCGCTCTCATTTCCAGGTTTTGAAACATGGATAATTTATTGGTTGTCATTGGTCTTGCCCTTAAGTCTTTCCAATTCCACTCCTTTCCTTTTCTACTTCTGCAAATCCCAAATCGACTTTTGATCTAAGCCAAGGTGAGAGAGGAGTGGCTGGCAAGCAGCCCAGTAGAAAGGGATCTGGGGGTGCTGGTTGACAGGAGGCTCAATAGGAGCCAGCAGTGTGTCCTGGAAGCCAGGAGGGCAAACCACATCCTGGGGTGCATCAAACACAGAACAACCAGCCCGTCAAAAGAGGTGGTTACACTGCTGTGTTCCACATTGGTGTGGCCTCACCTAGAGTACTGTGTGCAGTTCTGGGCCCCACATCTTAAGAAGGATGTGAAGGTCCTTGAATGTGTCCAGAGGAGGGGAACAAAGCTGGTGAAAGGGCTAGAAGGAATGTCCTGTGAGGAGTGGCTGAGGACTTTGGGCTTGCCTAGTTTGAAGAGGAGGCTGAAGGGCAACCTCATGGCTCTCTACAGTTTCCTGAGGAGGGGAAGTGGAGAGGGAGGTGCTGATCTCTTCTCCCTGGGATCCAGTAATAGGATGCATAGGAATGGGAATGATTAAAGGTGCTCCAGAGGAGGTTTAGACTTGACATGATTAAGCATTTCTTTACTGAGAGGGTCGTCAAACACTGGAACAGGCTTCTTAGAGAGGTGGTCAATGCCCCAAGCCTGCCAGTGCTTAAGAGGCATTTGGACAATGCCCTTAACAACATGCTTCAACTTTTGGTCAGCCCTGAAGTGGTCAGACAGTTGGATGAGATGATCGTTGTAGGTCCCTTCCAACTGAAATAGCCTAGTCTATTCCCCTACTCCATCTCTTTCCTTCCTTAATGCATCCTGCAGTATTCATCCCTTCCAAGATGCTTCTGCCCGGCTTCCTGTAGTGTCTGGCTGCAAGCACAAAAGGCAAGAGTGGTGGTAAAGGATGGTCTCTGCTGTCCACTCACATGTCTGGTACCACCGAAACCCAAGCTCCTGCAGCACAACACTTGCTCAGCTGCTGCAGATCCACTATGTAGCACATGAAAAAACACCTGATTATCTAATTCTCCAAAAACATCATATTTACCACAAAATCTCTATGTTCACATGTTTTCTGTGGAGCAGGAACACACCATGGTAGCATGTAGACTCCATCCTTTTTGGTCCCATCCTGAATAAGACATGCTGCATCCTACACTGCAGCAGCTGAGGAAGGATAACTGAGTTGTTAGAACTTGGGTTTCTGCATTACCAGTTATAGTAGTTATAACTCATGGATAAAATAAGCAAAAAGAAACCACTAAATCTGCATGATTAAACCAAAAACTTGCACATTATCATCATATGTTTTGAAATAAGAGAAAGGAAAAAAAGAATATTCTCATGAGTAAAAAGGGGCTGCCAAGATCTATATTGCAGGGGAGAAAAAAAAAGTCACAGAAGCTACCACAAAAGGTAAACTGTCTATAGTAAAAAATTATTCCAGGCTGCAAATTGATTAAACAGATTTATCACTTTTAAGTTACTCTTTCTTAAACACTTGTTATTAAACTGCAATTTAAAATAATTAGATTTTGCTGAAGTCCCTTTTGCATAATGGTTTCCAGAACCATGGTCACTATTTAAATTTATTCTAGCCATGTTCCCTTCTGGATTGACTGTAAACAATTCTCTGTGTGCCTAAAATGCTCCATCAGGCATTGTAGCACTGCTCCTTAGCAGTAAATGGTTAGATAAACCCCACAGTAACTGTTATTTGTAAAATCCATATCATGAGGAGGGGGGGAAAACAAAACAAAAAACAACCTCCATCCAGTAAAATAAGTTTTGTTCTACAAATGTGTGCTTGGAAAATAGATTCAAACAACTACAGTGAACTCAGATGTCTAAAAAGTTTACAGAGGAAACATAAAGGGAGTAAAAGAGTGACCTAATCCATTCATTTCAGTATTCAGAAAAAATTCTTATGCTGCATTTATTCAGCTTCAGTTCCACCACTGAAAGAGGCAAAACGCAGCAACTGCTTAGGCTTAGAAGCACTACCCAGGCAGCACATTTTGTACACCTGGTAACTTCAGAAGGTTTTCTTCATAAGCAGAAATACTGTACAGTAAAGATAAAAATAACAGTGTACACTGTGTACCATTAGCAGAGGTAATGCTGTTCATCATTTCAAAAGTATTTTAAAATTACTGTATGTTGTTTAGGCTTCAAGATTTTTTTTTTTAAATATAACTTCCAGACAACATACAATTTTCTGGATCTTTCAGAAAACACACACTCCCTATGTACCTGGTCCAGGGCAGGAGGAAACCTGTGAGCAGATGAGTTCCACAACTGACATTTTAAAACACTTTGCAGCATCTTCCTCAGCACATAGCTATGGCCACTATCAGAAAAAGGACACAAAGTGCAATAAACTGATTTGGACTTCTAAATAGGACTAAAGATAGAGCACTGCAAGTAAAAGATTTTGATATTTCAAAATTAGGTACTTGAGAAAATCTGCCCCAAACCTCCCAACCTTGCTGTGGAAGTGAAGGGAGAGCCATATCCAAGAGTCACCCTGGAAGGCTGCTCCAGGGTTGCGGACCCTTGAAATTCTGGTCACAGCCCTCACAGCTATGCACAATGTCTGGGAATAAAAAGATTCCCAATTCCCAAACAGGCCATCAAGATTACTGGATGATATGGAAGCAAATTAAACTGAAAACAGATTCAATCAAGGCATCATCAAAACTGAACCCACTTTACAAATAAAAAAATTATATGGAGAAGTGTTCCATAATTTTTTTTCCACTCAGGTCACTAGAAGGTCTCCCACTTCTGGATTAAAAAGGTTTTGAAACATGTAGATGATGTAGGAGCACCTTCCTTGCAGCCCCCTGCCTGGCATTCCAGCTAGCTCCTCCCTCTCTGGGCCCCAATCGGGGATCTAGATCTAGGGAGTTGCACTGAATCAACAGCCAAGAAGTTTCAACAACAGAAGTAACCAAGATTTTTATCAGGGGCCATACTGGAGTACTGTGATGCTCAGAGGTAGGTCACATGGTATCCAGATGATTTTTTAAATTGCCCTTAAGGAAATGCAAGATTTGCCTTCTAACCTCCTAGCCATAATCTTGACTGGTGCTTAGATTTGCAAGTTGCCTTCAAACTTCTTAAGTCATAAAAAACTATGCTATAAAATATCAGTAATATCTCTTTTCCCATGATAAAATAGAGAATATGTACATTCCACAAGTTACAGCTCTACTCCAAACAATATCTTTAAAAAATAAAATTAGGAAACTATTGTTAATCTAGACATATGGGCTACAACATGCATCTGATTCTCTACTGATTGGTTTTCATTGACATGAAAAATGGTACCCCTCAAGAGTTACTGCATTAGCCATGCATGTTCAATGTTGGCAAGTCACCGAGTACACTTCTCTGGAAGTGTGGGTCTCTCTAGGAAAGAGCATCTGCAAGTCACCCACTCCTAAATGAATTCAAGCCATCTGAGAACTGCTCATGGCATTCCACACAGCCAGCTCAGACTGGAGCTTGCAAAAGTTTTTCCCCAGAAGCCTGTCATAGCTTGCTGTTGCTGTGTGATCTTAAGTCTTCAAACAAAAGCACAGGTTAGTCCACTAACAAAAATACATGGTATTTAACAACACAGTTTCAAAGACCAAAGACCCTGCAGATTCTTTCAAGTTTCCCTTTTCTCCAAAGAATTCAGTGTTTTGGGAAGGAGTTTCAATATGCAAGAATACTTCTTCCTCTGGCTGCAGCTTCTCTTCAAGTGAAGAGAGATAGCCTTTCCCAGCTCTGCCAAACCTAGGCTTTCAGATCATAGTTCAACCTC